TATGACCGATGCCTTTTATGGCATTGGTTGCAGGTCCCTATCTGCAAGTGTTTGAGATCAAAGTTATGCATAATAATGAGGTTACTTAACCATATATGGGTATCTGATATACATGTCATGTCCTGTCCAATGCATCAATTAACTACATAGCAGCAAAGTCTGAATTTTGAGTAACATGGTTAATTTCATGTAGTGTATGTGTTGAACACACAATCTAATATTTTATAATATCAAAACTTTTCAGTTTATTATATATACATATACCTACAGTGAATTTGATATGCTGACATAATTAATGAGACAACATGACCATATATGGTCATCTGATAGGTTAGCCACGCCTAGTCTGGTGCCTTCAATATAGTTATATTACAGTTATGCATATCAATGAGATCATATGAACATTCACTGATATATTTCTTGTGTCTTATTCACAACATTAGTTGCACATACCTATCTGCAATAGTCTCTAGGTATTAAATTGGCTGGTTCTCGCCTCAAGTGTCATGGCGTACCAAGCCACAAGAGGCCGGTAACTAGTAACGGTTCCGGCATTCTGATTGGTACATCACTTTCTCGTTGCTTGTTCCATTTCCCTTAGTTACCTGACGTCAGCGCTTACGCTCGTGGCCGTTCAGGGGTTTCCTTTTGCTTTCGAAAGTTGGGCGAATAAAAAGAATTGTTTCTTTAGTTATAAATTTGCACAGAACATATCAAATCTGTAAATCTAAGCAGGCAGTATGTATGAGCATGGCTTTATTGTAGCATTACAGACACGTTTACGCAAAACGGAACTTGGAATGTTTTCAAATTACGTCACCCAGTCGCGTTCCTTCCGGCCTGAAAACCGGCCCAAATGGAACAATATGGCGATTACTAGTTACCTGCGTCCTACCTGCCATTCGCAAAGGACGCCGGGAACCAGCGAAGGTATTAAAATTATGCTTATTAATGACCTTATACGACAGTTAATAGTGATGTCACATGACCATATATGGTCATCAGATACTAAATCATACCTCTGGTACCTTCATTATAGTACTAGTTGCGTGTCATCAGTATACAGTGCATACTTTTTCCCCCCATTATGCAAATTAGATAATCCACTGACAGTAACCCAAAATTAACAAGACGTGTGGATTATCCCAGAGGATCTATGTGTCAAATTTCATTTTAATCTACAGGGTGGTTCTAGAAAAACTGGGTACTTACCGCTAATCTGCAAACACACACAAACTGCAAAGACTCTTCTTGGTGATCTGAGATCATTAGAATTGTGTGATGCAGTGATATCATTTAATGAGAACGTCAGTAGGCTCAGAAAAAAAGCAGAATAGTGTTTTGGAGTTTGAACAATCAACATAATTTGCATTTTTAATAATTGTTGCAAAACATAAAACTGAACTGTATTTAAAAAGCTTTTTCTCCCTTCACACAAGTTAGATCTCTCCTGGTTGGTATATCACATTTAACAAATGACATTTGTTAACTGCGACTGATGAAAAATGTTACCATGGGAACACATGACTACACAAGGAGCATGATCATAAAAACATTGTACAATAATGTATAAAATAATAATCAGTTTTATTCAGTTATTACAGTAATTATTCGTTTTTTGAAGTCAAGTAAAAAAAACATACACAGACAAACCTGCATGATATGCTACAGTGAAAACATTGTATTATTCTCAAATATAAATATTTCAAGCTATAATTGAATAATATCGCACCCTGAAATACTTTTCAATATGTGGAATGCAGTCCCAGTATATTGAGCAGTTTTGACTTGAAATTAAAAGTTGGTGTGGAGGGCAAAGTTTGGGGTGCCTAGTTTGGGGTGCCGAGTTTGGGGTGCCGAGTTTGGGGTGCCGAGCTTGGGGTGCCGAGCTTGGAGTGTCGAGCTTGGGGTGCCGAGCTTGGGGTGCCGAGCTTGGGGTGCCGAGCTTGGGGTGCCGAGTTTGGGGTGCCGAGTTTGGGGTGCCGAGTTTGGAGTGCCGAGTTTGGAGTGCCGAGTTTGAAGTGCCCAGTTTGGGGTGCCAGTTTGGGGTGCCGAGTTTGGAGTGCCCAGTTTGGGGTGCCGAGTTTGGAGTGCATAATTTGGGGTGCCGAGTTTGGGGTGCCGAGTTTGGGGTGCCAAGTACACTCTGGAAGCCTAAGGTCAATCTGGAGGTCTTGGTAAAAATCTAGAATCAAAAACGTTTTGTATGTACCTATAATTAATGTGTGCGGTTTTACACCATTTTGCAAAAGACTTTGTTTGAGTTGAGTTAAATAGTCAAATCAAGGCAATCATTTTGCTTCCATAAAGTTCTTGTTGAATGTTACATTCACGTGAAAGGTCACAGGTTTACTAGTTGAAAGCTAACTAACAGTCTGGTGTCCCAAGCCAATTTGCATTACAAACCACATCTGGTGTCTGTATCCAAAAACTAAATCCTTCTAATTATGAATACATCCCCTGTCCAGATACAATGCACATTAAAAATAGCAAATTAATGTGATTAAAGAAAAGGTATTGTCACAGATATGAGGTCATCAAGTAAATGCCAATGATGTCACACAAAACAAGGAAAACTGATCAACTACTGTAAAATGGTTAATTATTCACTGGGTTTCAATTTGGCTTATTTCGCTGACTGGAAAATGCACCTAAATTAAAACCCAGTGAATATGTAAAATTTAGCATAAAACATTATCTAAATGATAAATCCGTGAATTTAAAACCCACTGAATATGCCTGAAATGGTAAATCAGTGAAATTTAAACCCAGTGAAAATTAGTCATTTTACAGTATACTACTCGGCCCAGGCAGGACAACAATACTAAATACATATTGTATAATGCACAAAAACAGTTTAAAGTCCCAAAACTATGTCTTAACACTTATGTCTTATGTCTGTAATTACATATTAAGTGTTATATACTTGATCTTCCATATAAATGCCTGAAAGATGAATCTGGCTTAAAAGTCATTGTTACATTGTTACATTCTACATCAGAGAAGTACCATCCAGGAATGAGACTGTTAACTAGGGTTTTGTTTGATGGTTCTCATAGCATTGTGCAGTAAAACGCAGTGACGGGATTGAGTATTTGGTCAATGTTATGTTAGAATCCACAAGTCATGTATTAGCATATAAAGGTAGGTGGACCATTGGTGAAAGTGACAAACTTCAAAAACAAATGTCATTCGCTGCTAGTGGCTGGCAAAGAGTCGTGGAAAACCCAGTGTGACAATTATTAAAGAAACTGTAAATATATACTTCAATTACACATTGCAAGGAATACACCTTGTCTATATGTTGCACCTTTTAGTGACGGAGTGCTTCTGCGACAACAGAATGATATACACAGGTAAATGCAAAGTCATACAAATTGACCACTATATTTAGTAATGCAGTTTTTCGTCATCCAGAATTTTCAAAATACATAATCCTCATGGCTAGAATGAAGCGATATCGATATTTATGTTATACAAGTGCCTTGTCACTCAGGGCAGAGCTCATAGGAAAGGTGTACATGTATGTAGACTATGAGCATTCAGGACAAAAACATGCTTTTGTAATTCTCAGGCGAATATCCGGGCATTTTCACCACCATCATGGTGAAAACAAAGACCAAAAACTCGCAGAAAACGGTACTTTGGGATGGTTGCTGAGACTCCCCTGAAACAGTGTAACAAGATTACCCCTGCAACATCAATTTGGTTGCTCAGTAAGGGTACCAATGAAAGTGTAGCTTTTTAATGAAAATCACAGCTTTGACACCGTGCAGCATAGCTTGGTCAGGAAAAGCTTAGCTGCAGGAATGAAATCCGCTAGTTTTGACATCGAGAACTCAAGCTTTGAACATATTTTGATGTTGAGGGCGTACACAACATGGCTGCCTCCAAAAGCAGCGTTAGCGACGGTAAGTATTTTACTCGTTTTCTCAACAAAATCACCAAGTTATGCTGTGTAATATGCCGCAATCAGTGAAGTTCAGGTTCAATTTCATTTCTAGAAAGTTTCAGCCACCATTTTACGAAACTTGCAGAGAAATCTCAATTCCAATTTTCGAAGTGAACAGGCTAGCAGTACGTTCTATTCTTATACATCCACTACATTGAGTTCATGCCATTTTCTCAGGAGTGTTATTCTTTCAATGTTTCACAACGTGTATGTATTACAGATAAGATACCTTTACAACAATACCTAACAGAAGTGAACAGGAATCCATATGGGTGTGAACATTATTCAAAAATATAACCAAATGAAAGTCAAACGAACACTACATCTATGCTCCCACTGTCAGTAGTACCGGTAAATGCAGTAGATTTACATGATGCATATGGGGTTGCTATTTATTCTTTTCTGTTTTAAAATTTACTAAAACTCAAACAAAATCAGAAAGCACCCAGAGATCTAGGAAACCTGTTAAAAATTAACAATCAATTTCTGACAATTCCAACAAATTCAGACCATCAAATAGTTTACATAGTACAGTTATAGGAGTGGAGTGATAGCAGTGATCCCCAAGTGAAAATTGAATGCAGTGAGCAATAGTGTTTCCTCCAAGTCCTAATTGCAAACAATCAGTTCAGTAAAAGTTTGCCCTCACACACTGCCATCAACTCAAATATCCCTTCATAGGAATACAAGTTGCACAGTGTAACTTTTGTTTCAAGAAAACATTGTGTCAATTTTAGTTTACGGCTTGTAATTAGGTAAATATTACCAACATTTCCCAAGTCATGTGAGAAGGGTTCCCCAGTTACAAGACTATGACCTTTCAAAGTCTGATACATAATTGCATAATACAGAAATTGCGAAAACTACCAGACATTTCACCTGGTATTAATGCCCCCACCTCACACGAAACATTGAGTGATAAGCCCAAACTTATATAGATTCTGGTCTACAGCTGATATCACCAATCATTACACTATTTTACCCTCATATAAAAGGGTTCATCAAGGCCATTCTAGAACCAACAGAAAATACAAATGAAAGATAAACGTCATATCATAGTAACTTTTAAATTAACTTACAAGTCAAAATTGTACATAATCTAATGAAAATAAGATGCTAACCAATCATCAAACCAAACCCTGATAGAAATCTATGTTTTGTGTGGTCCAGTATAGCACTAAGCGAGAATGTGAAAGGCATTGGTGTCAGTTTCTTCTCCATCACCGCGGCAACCCTCCAATTTGTATCCAGTGAACCTAAAATACACAAATTAATAATCATCAGACATTTATATAGAATCCCCCGATATTATCTCACAGGCTGATGTAAGCAGACATGTATGAGTTTTGTATCAATCAAAGCCACAGGATCACAAGTGTATGCTGACATTAGTCTACGAGAGAATGTCACATGCATATTTCCACAGTACAACATGGTGAGTGTTGACAGAGGAACTGAAATAACATTGAATACAAATATATCATTACGTTCACTTATGTATGTATAATGTATTACGTGTATGCTATTTTTGTTGACGCCAGTGTTCTATTTCATGTGAATGCCTTGCGTATGCTGTATGGTGATTCTGCTCATTCATATTATTTGCTTTGATTAGGTTTTTTAAATTTTCAACCAATTATTTCGAGGGACTGAAATATATTTCAAACATAGACACACTTGAGCTTGTCAAAATGAACCATTGCTATAATAATCCGTAGTTATTGTATCATATGTAACCTCATACAGCATTCAGGCAGTGCGTACAATACAGCAGTATATGACACAGTGGTGATACAGGTTTTTGATCTGTCCCGTTTTACATTACCCTGTGGTGATACATAGGGATGCGTGTCAAGTGTACACACATCATACACACCTTTAAATTGTAGATTAGCTTGCGGTACATCCATTTGATAACCTAATGTTGTAACGGTTTCACCCATACGACTTTCAAACTCAACGCCAACTTGTACATTATTCTGTCCTTTATGATAATAAGATAGATGACATGTTGCCGGGGACAATGCTCCTGTAAACACCCAACTAGACCCTAAAATCAAAGAAAGTACAAGTGTAATTAATGAATTTAAGATATATAGTTTTGTTTATAGTAATATAGCTGGAATATAACATGTCAAATGAGTACTTGTCCACATTGAGAGATATTGCTCTGGAACGGCGTTAATTAAAACAAAATCAGCTATTTTGAATACATGTATATATCTATAACATAATGTATAATGAATATATAAAATTTGAACATAATCAGTCAAAATATGTCAGAGATATGGCTCTAGAAGCCCATTCATTAAAACAAAATGGCCACCAGTTAGCCATTCTGAATCCGATCTGAAAAATAAAATGACGAGCATCAGGAACTCGTAATGTCTAATGTATGTACCAAGTTTGAACGAAATCCATCCATAAATGCCAGAAATGTTTGATATTTGATGATTTTTTAGCACAAAAATGGCCTCCATTTGGCCATTTTTAATAGAATCGTCAAATGAATATTTAAAATTTGAACATACCGTATTTGTCTTCAGTTAAGCGCCACCTTCAATTAGGCGCCAGTGCCACAAAAACTTTGTATTTTACACCTCAATTAAGCGCCAGACAAAGTTGAAATTTTGGCACGTAATGATCGTGAATTGGGCGCCGGCGGATCGACTACCGGTTAACGGTTCGTAGCGATGGACGCGATCGCGGAAGTCCCTCGCTGTTACTGTACAAATGGCTTTTATGTAAAAAAAATGGTTTTGTTTCTAACAATTTTTAAGAAATCGGTCTATAATCTCTTGAAACATGTCTTTTTAGTCTACTGTAGAAAATATCAGCGTGGTTTTTAATTTCGCAGTAAGTCCATAAAAACGAAATTAAAACAACGCGAAAATGTTCTGTTTCAAATGCGCTGTTGTCACAGTAAACAGTGTTAAATTATTCTTTAAATGCTCAGTTTACTTTCCAAAAATAACTAATTTCTTGATTTGAAAAAAAAATCATGCCGTTTTTCCCACCAAAATCAAAGCCAAAATATCGCAAACATCGGCAAA